TTTTTTTTTTTTTGAAATTTCCACTAACAGTAAGTCAATTATTTATTTTTTAGTCAAATTTACTATAAAAATATTTTTTCAACAGCTTATTTATATTACTATAGATATAGATATAGATAGGAGTTTTATCAATGTAAGGTCCAAAAGATACGTAAACTATCAATTGAAGACCTGAAAATTTTCTTTTCTCAATTCGGGGCTCGGATGATATGAAACTATCAATGTGAGGCTTAAAAATTAACAGCACCGTTAACAAATCCTTTGGAACTATCCATATTAGACTTAGACATTAACAACAAATTTAACATTGTTAAATTGTGGTTTATATAGAAAAAAAATGACAGAAGAAAGAAAGAAAACATGGGAAAAAAAAAGAAAAAAAAAATGAGAGAAGAAAGAAAGAAAACATGGTGGCGGCTGGAATTTAATTTAGGTTTATATAAAAAATAAATGAGAGAGAAGAAAGAAAGAAAACATGGTGACGGCTGGAATTTCTATAGCAGCTTTAACATGGTGATTCTCTTTTTCATAATTCTCATAATAACTAAATTTTCTAGTAATTTGGAGAGTGGTTTCAAGGTAAAATTTCTCATGTTTACAGTAATTTGGAAAGAGGATTTTTTTTTTCCGAAACGATAGGAATTCTCATACACAAACAAATATTTACAATGTTCAGTACAAATAGTACAATACAGTAATCAAAACACTACAAAACTAAGACAAAAAGACACAACCTACTACAATCCGAGGGCTATTAGAGCCAGAGAGAACTGCACATCCAAACCTTGCAGTCTAAACACTACTTCACATAACACCACAAATGTTAAAGGCAGAACACTCAAATCTGAAAACCTTTAACATTACAACAGAACCATAACAACTACAAAAAATACAGACATAGAACACACACCCAACTTAGCCACTGAACTGAAACAGACCTAGCCAAGTCTAGGTATGCTGTTCTTGTTTTTACCTCCATAAGCCACAAAGAACTGCCAGTCCTGCATTGCTGTCTGAACTATCTGGTGCTCTGCTCTCCATCCTCCTTCAAATTTCCACAAGTTTCGAGACTTCCAAAGCCACCATAATATATAAGTAGTAAGTTGAATACGTGCTTCAGAAATCTCTGACTTATCTACTGAGCATATTGTACCCCACCAATCTCTAAACCTGCAATTCTCCATTGGAGCTCCATCCCAGTACACAGGTGCATGCTTCCATACAGTTTTGGCCCTTTTACATCTCAAAAAAACATGTTCTATAGTTTCTTCCTCCTCTCCACAGCTTGCACATGTCACATCCACCATGATACCTCTTTGCCTGAGATTAGTATTAACAGGGAGAATACCATTAACACATTTCCACACAAAATGTTTAAGTTTACCTTGAACTTTCATTTTCCAGCTTCTCAGTCTAATTCTTCTATCTCTTTCTGTTGTACAACTCCCTTCAGCTAGATCCAAGTTATGCAGTTTCTTTGTTATCAAATGAGAATAAGAAGCAACCACAGAGAATTTGCCCTTTGACCCCATCTTCCATTTCTATTTATCTTCCTATGTGGGGTTCAGATTATTTATGGATAGAATAGCTGTACCATCTTCTTCAGTGAATACTTCTTTTATCTTGTTCACATCCCAAGCCTTCCAGATTCATCAATCAAATCTTTTACTGACAACTGACTGTGTAAAGATTCATTGAGCAACTGAGGTTTCCTCTCCTTGATTTTTGGGACCCAGTTAAAATCATGTACTTTCAGTGTAGCTCTATTTTTAACCTCTACTTCCAATCCTTCCTGTAATAACCTTCTAATATTCCACCAACATCTCCACTACCAAGATGCTGTATGAGATAATGTAATTGAAAATATTGATGAGTTAGGAAAATACCTGTTTTTAAATTGAGAAAAAAAAAATTTCAGGTCTTCAATTGATAGTTTTCCTATCTTTTAAGACTTCTGATCAAATTCCTTGGATAAATATAGATTCATGGTCATCGTGCAAATAGTAGAATGACGAGATAACAAGAAATACTCCACATATGTAAACAAAATTAAAAGGAAAAGAAAGCTAGTGCCAACTCAGCTAAAGGAAAAGATATTTTACGAGTTGTCCACTCCATCTTTCAAATAAATATTATTATAATTATAATTGTAATTATTAATACTGGGAACAGTAAGTGGCATTATTGTATTGAGTGTAGACTTTAGAGTCTAGACTGCAAAGTGATTTTATAGACTTATACACGTGGGATATTTTATGGTGCGTAACGAATTATTCGATCAAAATTTGTAATGTTAGATCAACTATCCACTATGATTACGTGATAATTTAACGATTACAAATCCAGACGCAATAGTTCCGTACCAAACTGCATCATTTACATATACACATACATCCATCTTCCTTTCCATTGCTGAGCTTATTTCTGCACCCAACAATCCCTAAAAAAAACCCTTAAAACAGAAAGCAAATCTCCTTTCATTACAATTTATTACACTGCTTAATCTTTTATCCGCACATTTTTGGAAGCTCCACTTTCCATATTCGTCAATTATCTTTTCATTTTTGTTTCCTCGATTGGAAATTTTAAGAATTCGTCTGGTGGGATATTTCAAAACGATGGTGGCGTGCGATTTCTGCGGTCAGCGGGCAGCCATACTCTACTGCCGAGCGGACACCGCCAAACTGTGCCTATCCTGTGACCAGCACGTCCACTCCGCCAACGCCCTCTCCAGGAAGCACCTCCGATCTCAGATCTGCGACAACTGCGCCGCGGGGCCTGCCTCCGTCCGATGCGCCACCGACGGCCTCGTCCTCTGCCAGGAGTGCGACTGGGACGCTCACGGCAGCTGCGCCGTTTCCGCCGCGCACGATCGCTGCCCCCTGGAGGGCTTCTCCGGCTGTCCCTCGCCTCTGGATCTGGCGGCCGCCTGGGGTTTGGAGATCGAGAACAAAGGGCCGC